CACACAATTACAGTTACAGCCAATTGTGCACTATAAACTGACTTAAATAAAAACACAAGTATGTTTCTAGCAACATATGCAAAATATAAAGGTTTGCCAGTTGTTACAAAATGTTTTCCCTACAACATAACGAGGTCTGGTGAAATTGTACAATATAGTGAGTTATAAGCCATGGATTAAATGTTTACTTAGTGCTTATAAATGCTTAACATTAGTTAAAGGGTTTTATAGCTGTGTTGATATAAATGGCCCTCTGTCGGCAAACAATTAAGTAGATAACAAACTAAATACATCTACATAATATAACATCCCTCATCAAGGCAGCATAATGAGCTTCAGTTGAGGGAGCATTTGTATCTCACACAGGTTTGAGCGGAAATGCCAACACTGCTGCAGCGGCGAGCTGAGCATCCATCACAAAGGTCAGAGTCTCTGCAGCCGGAGCACTTGAAAGGTTCAGAGTATTTCAGAGAGGAGCTTTATCATCCTGACAAACCACAGATCCACAGATGCATCCAGGTACAAACCAACCTGGTTAGAGGTACTTGTACTCAACTTCAGGATTGTATTGGCATGCCATACACTTGTTTACGAAACCACAGAGAATCATCACCTGAATCTGCAGCTCCTTTCACTTTTATAGAGCAAAATGAAATGAAAATTAGTTTATGTTGTTCCACCAAAACAAAAAAAACGCACGCGAATCCCAGGACCCCAAGCCAATACAATGACAGTGTTTCCATTAGCTGGTATTTACTGGACATTATCCAGGAGGCTACTGTTGGCCCACCAAATGTAAACCTCTTCTGTCATAATGTCTGCTGGGTATTAATCCCCCTAAGTACAATTTAAGGTAACACTTTACGGTAAGGGTACATGAATCATCATGAATTCATGCATAACTTAATGCATGAAAAAGCAAGAATTCATTCATGTAGTACTCATGAACTATCAGTAATGTATAATGTTTAATAGTATCTCATGCATGACTTAATGCAGGAACAATACCTTAATTAATGCATCAACTAAGGTATCTCAATCATCATGACTTCTGAGTTATTAATGATGTTCATGTCTTCTTCATATAGATCTGATGAACTAAGCATACTTCATCACATTTGTGCCCCTTCAAATAAAGTGGTGACCTGTTCCGTCGTTTACACTGATAACTAACATATGACTAATGGCGTATGTGAAATCACCTTTATTAACCATTTGGTGCTCATGCATCAATCATCTTTGTGATCCCTCAAATAAAGTCAGCCCTTATGTCTATTTAGGCATCATGGATTTGGCAATATTACAAATGCAAATGAGATCATCATTTTTGACTTATTTTCAATTATCAATGATATAGTTAGGACTTTTTTTATGTATCATACAGTATTATCTTAAAGCTCACAAACCATTAAAGATAACTCATTCATAATATTAACAAACTTTAATTTATAATCCAAAGCCAACAAGATCACATTTTCACGTTTTCATCATGTCACATAAGAAAGCAGTAATTTGTTTTGGCAAAGACACAAGAATAGGAGGCCTACTTTAGGGAGGACGTGGATTGAAGTCATGATGATTGAGATACCTTAGTTGATGCATTAATTAAGGTATTGTTCCTGCATTAAGTCATGCATGAGATACTATTAATCCTTATACATTACTGATAGTTCATGAGTACTACATGAATGAATTCATGCTTTTTCATGCATTAAGTCATGCATGAATTCATGATGATTCATGTACCCTTACCATAAAGTGTTACCCAATTTAAAGTGTATTTATTTTAAAAGGCTTGATAGTCTGGGACATTGAAAATCTTCCAGGACACATTGACGAGAAGGTGACAATGAATTCAACACTCTCATTATGCCTGCTATTGTTTATCTTTTGGAGAATAAGTCAATAACGACCCTCTCGCTGGGTCATCACCCAACAGCAGACACGCTTAGAGACAAGCTGGTGGATTATTTTGCAGCTAAAGAGAGAGATAATTCCAAAAGGTGACCAAAAACAGAGCTAAAAGGGAGTGAACATTGGACTTATGTTCATCAGGTGGAAAAAAACAAAAGACTCCTGGATGATAAATATGTTGAAAAAAAGCAACCTCAAATGTTGAGCACACTAGGGCTGTATCCAACAAATGTTTTCCTTTTCGATTAATCCTTCAGTTACTTTCCGGATTACTCATTAGTCGTTAACAAATATGTTTCCCAAAACCCAAGCTGATAGCCTTCATTTTCTTGTTTTGTCGTGAATTCAAAGACATTCAGTTTACTCTAATAGAGGGGTAGAGAGCAACTAAAATCCACATTTAAAAATCCTGAATTAGACAATTAACTAACTTAAAAGTTGACAAGTAATTGTTTTATGTTTCAGCTCTAAAGTGAAGCATCGTTTTACCAATACACCTAATCTGGCTTGAAGAAACTCAAGCTGATTATAAAAAGGGGAACATGTATAAAATGTATCAATAAATATCACAGTTTTATATTCATGACGCTTTGAGTGTGACAGTCAAAGTTTAGAACCACTTTCAATCCATTGTACAAAATGTTCTCTCTTGCTTCATAGGGCCACTCATACTGAACTGATTCAGTTCTCCGCAGTGAGGAGGCCGCTCAGGGTCATGGATAAGGACGTCCGCAGAGCTGTTTGAATAGCTTGTTTGTTTAGCTTTATTTTATATTTTCTTCTCTCTCTGAAGGATGATAAAAATATATATCTGTTATACAACAAAGAATGAATCAGAAAAGAAGAGTAGAGAAATGGTGCAAAAGTAAATTATCTACACATATTGAATAAGATATATGTTTTTGTTTGTAAGTATAAGATGCGTAGAACTATTCCATTGGATGAATATGGAGGCAAATGACTTCACATACATATCACAAATATCGTAAACCTTGCTCCTTTTTTAAGCTTCCATTCTCTTCTCCTAAGCTATTTACCATACATCTCCTCATCTAACTCTCTCCCAGAAAGCAAATAGCTATACAATTATTCTTCTGGAACTGATGAGAGGGAGGAGAAGTAGATTAGTTTGCCTCCCTTGATCTCACGATTTATGATAATCCAAGTTTTTCACAACACAATTAGTTTTTAGGATCCAGCAGTGATGCACTCTACCTTTTAAAGCAATGGAGCTGCTAACCATAAACGTGTTTTGTTGACTGAATAAGGGAAACTTGCATAAAAGACACATGACGCCACCACTTTTACAGCTCCATGAAGCCAGTGGTACTACATATTTATGTCTGAAAAGGGCTTGAGAGGAAGTAACACCACCAACCATCAATTTGTAGATAGATATTGAAATGTTGTTATTTCTAAATGCTGCTTTGGTCTTTGAGGAGGCAGCAGATTGCTCCTCCTTTCTCATCTCCAAGAAGCCAATTTCGCCTGAAATTATGCTGTGGATTGGTGCCGATTAATTTACCACCTGGTGTCTGAGTGTGTGTGCGTGTGACTGTTTGTTTTGAATTTGTGTCGATTACGTGTGTGTGAATGCATTATAATTTCAGTTTTCAGGATGGCACATTGAATAACATCTGAATCTTTTGCTTCCATGCCGTAATTAGTTTCAACTCTTCTATTCCTGGAAAAATGAATAAAATGCAGCATTTTGTCATAAGTGGTTTCAAATGGAGGAGCATGATGCTGTTTTGCTTCGCTGAATGAAATAAATCTTGGTAGATGGTAATTACGCACGCACTTTCATAAACACAGTTGGGAAGTTGTTTTTATGTCCAGGAAAATAATGTGTTTTTTTCCACAAGCTAAACTGACATAAAACTGAAAAATAAACAATCATGATACAATTCTCAGAACAAGATACAGTCCTCGTAGCAAATAAAGTACAACGATTCAAACCTATTTATTAAAGCTGTGAATGCATTATAATTATTTTTTCCATAATGTATGGGGTAAAGAGTGTCCGAAATATTTCAAGCACATTTTTTTATTTGGGCTGAATTTGTATATGCTGTTTATAAATGCCAAATAGGTCATCTAAAAGTACACACACACACACACACAAAGATAAGATTGCGGTTCCAATTGTTTTAGTATGGTTTGACTTTGAAGGAAATTGTACTCATAGGGAAATGTGCTTTATTGAGAAAGGCAGGCCACTGACTGTGTGCCAAACCCCAAAGAACATAACAGGTGCTTGTTAAAGGAAAATGAAGTTGACGTAGCTTTTTGGAGACTTTTTTAATGAATTGTAACTACTCACTATTATGAAAATGAATATCATTTTTCAGTTGAGGAAAATGGACTTTGGCATGAATGCAAAAAACTCACAGAGATATGCCAAAATTACACAAAAAAATTCTAAAATGACCACATAGAGACACAATTATACGCAAGGACACAACATTTGCCAATAAAAAACGCACATATAGCTAGTGCAAAAATGACAACACAACACATCCTTAAAAAGTCCCCACATGACCACAAAGAGACAGAAAATGACCTTAGAGATGCAAGATAGCAACTAAGAAATGAAAAATGACTATAAACTAAATGACCAAAATGAGATACCAAATGGCCATTAAGCGACATAAAACAACTGCAATGAGACACGTCCAAAAAGACACAGAAACAGCTGCAAGGAGACACACAACAATTAAAATAGACATACAACGACGCCAAAGAGCACGAAATGAACACAAAGAAACAAAGTAAAGTGTTGTGTGTAACTATTGTGTGTCTTTGTGTTTATTTGGCATACATTTTATTAAAATGAATGAATAAATAATATAATCTAATAATCTACGGAAAAGCTACAGTTTAACAGATAAGCTAATAAAGTTTCTAAACCCTAACCCTTAGGTTTTTTGTGTTTGGATGGTATCATAAACGGTGTTTAATACAGAAGTGAGGAGACAGATTTGCAGTGACATCAGTCTATAACACGGCTCTTTCTCAGTCATAGCCTATACAGTATAAAAATAATCCATGATTAGACATTTCCTAACGTAGACCTATACACTTACCTTTATGTGGAGACTTTTCAAACCGCGATCTTGTTTAAGCCCGCTCTCGTCGTGTGATATTAGGATGTATAGATTTCATTAGCAGCTGCCGTTGGTTTATTCCCTGTCGGGACAGGTTTTATCTTCATCATCAGCTGTGAAAGTGTCCGGTCCTCCGGGGTGTCGGTCAGTTTCCGTCCTCTCTCCACGAGTGATACACTGAAGCCACCGCAGCGACATTATAACAGACAGCCTCTCGCCTGTAACTAGGTAACAGCTCTGCTGCTGCAAGGAGTACAGGAGGAGGTGTTGAAATCCTGTGTGTGTGTGTGTGTGTGTGTGTGTGTGTGTGTGTGTGTGTGTGTGTGTGCGCGCGCGCGTGCATGTGTGAGAGCATGCATGCGAGAGAGAGAGAGAGAGAGAGAGAGAGAGAGAGAGAGAGAGAGAGAGAGAGAGAGAGACGAGAGAGCTTGAGAGAGGAGAGAGTAAGAGAGAGAGAGAGATTGAGAGACGAGGCATGACGAAGAGAGAGAGATGAGAGAGAGTGTATTCTGAGCTGATACACTCTTTTGCCATTGTGTGTAAATAAATTACAATGATTTGAGGGTGCATTGTGGAGTTACAGTTTGAAAGTGAGCATATCCTAGGATGTATGGAGTCAGATCAGTCTCAATATTAATAAATGCACACAAGGATTCACAAATGTATTTCGGGATTTATATATAAATGACTCTCTCCACAAACATATTTGTCAATGCACACCATTTTTTGTATTGTTGTATATAAATGTAAAAAAATCCACAGATAAAAAAAGTTTCACAAATATAGGCATATTTCTGACATATAAATAATTATTGTTTTTAGTAATGTAAAAGAAAACCACAATTAGTTATAATTTCCATAGTTTCCTGTTAAAAAAATATGCATTTGTCATTTCCGTCGGAAGTCTCAAAAAAACAAGAAAAGCAGTTTAAATGCCCATTTTTTTGTACATTTATATACAACAATAAATATTTGTGAGATATTGTTGTGGAGAGTCATTTATATATAAATCGCAAAATACATTTGTGAATCCTTCTGTGAGCATTTATTAATATTGAGACTGATCTGACTCCTCCATACAGATGTTAAGTTCACCTAGGAATGGTATCATTGACTTAAATGTTCAAATACATGTTGCTCTTCCGTCTATATTAGTCATATGATGCCCCTTGACTGAAATGTTTCCTGTTCAATATCCCCACTGATTTCCTTAAAATTCTGGGATGAGAGTCCACATCACAATTGACTCTAAACTGTCATTTCCCTTTCATCACTCACCTCAGCAATGGATCTCTCTCCACTGTCCCTGTATTCTGCCTCTGACTCACTCTCAAACACCTAGATGTCAAGAGAAGTGGTGAAGAGATCATTATTTATTGAGCAGTATACTCTTTCACATTGAATCATAACAAGTCATACTGAATGTAAATACAACTGACTCTAAAAGTAAGTCCCAGTCTGTGACATTGGACATTTTGAAGACTCAAAGTCCCAAGCAGTAGGTAGAATATTAGCTAGTCTATGTAATGTGCACAGAAAATAAACAGTTAACTGAATACTGGGATGGAAATTGCCTATAAGCACTCAGTAAAACATAAACACACACAAAAAGCTTCTGAATGATAAGAAGTATAATTAAAACATAATGCACATTACCATTTTGAGAGAGAGTACCGAAGTTAAAGAACTGAGAAAATAATCTCTCATCGAACTGAGGCTCCAGTAAAACACACTGACTGCGTCTCTACATGGACATCAGTAAGCCGTTTATGAGTATTATCCCGGTTATGATCATATTGGGGATATGGTGTTTACATGAGCACAGAGAGATCGGGTTATTCATGTTCCTTGTTTACATGGTAAATACTAGTAACCTGGCAATTCGATGCCTTTTCTCATCTAAACTATTCAGTATTTGTATCTCTCTATCATGACATAAAGACGAAACTCCTCTCCAGAAGTGAGACGCCGCCGCCGCCATCACTGTTAACTGATTAACTGCTACCAGCTGAAGACTTACTTTCCTCTTCTTTGAAATGTTCTTATGTCCATGTTGTCTGGGGGAGAAAACATATCAAACCAAGAGATCGTCAGCTTTGATTTTCGCTGTATTAACCATTTCCTGAACACTTGGTGTGTGTGCCTCACCTCCACTACCGGCATCGCGTCATACAACAGATCTGAGCTGTCCACCTATGACAACACTCCTTGAACATGCGCGCACTCTGTGAGAATCTGCCTTGGTACAAAGTAGCAGTGAAAACATGGTACGGTGTTTCATTGATTTGGGCATTCTCTCAATAAGCAAGTGGAATGGTTTTGATATGAAGCACTGACACAGCACTCTACAGAGTGGATAGACCGATTCACGGACTTTCCGCATAGTAAAAGTGGGGGGGTCGAAACTAATCATTTGAAAAAGTGGGGGGGACTTGTCCCACCCTCATATAATAGCTGTGACGCCCATGCATAGGAGTGATAATTAAATAATCCCTTCCATCCATTAAGAGACATTAAACGAAAAAGATAAACAATATTAAAATAATGGATAGTAAAGCTTTCATTCAATTTCAGTGAGGAAAAAAATACATTTAGATGTAGATTTTGTATCCAACATGAGTGTCAGGGTTGAGCGAAGCAGGCAGGTCCCAAATGCAGGTTTTACGGGAAAAGATACCTTTATTTAAAGGTTACAAGAAAAATACAGAGCTCTTCCCCGTGAACACAGTCAAAAACAAACAAGGATCTCACAAAGACTAACAGAAAACGCAGAACCTAAATACACACAGGACTAATGAAACAAACAAGACACAGGTGAGGAGGGAGGAGAAAAACACAGGGGCACAAGGTGAACACAATCAGGTAATCAGGTAGGAGGGAACAGGTAGGAGGGAATACACAGAAGACAAAACACAACACAGACAGATCGTGACATTACCCCCCCCCCCCCCCAGATCCCAGACGTCCCTAAAAACAAAAAGTCAGAAACATCCAGCAGGGTGGGTGGAGGGGGACCGGAGGAGAGACTCGGGCGGACAGCCCGGGGGCAAAGCAGAAGCCGAGAAGGGGGACTCGGGCGGACGGCCCAGGGGCAAATCAGAGGCCGAGAAGGGGGACTCGGGCGGACGGCCCAGGGGCAAGGTAGAGGCCAAGAAGGGGGGCTCGTGCAGACGGCCCGGGGGAACAGCAACAGAGCAGGGAAGTACGCGGTGGGGAAACTCAGGGGGCCGAAAACAGGGGTGAAGGCCTCGTCGGGGTAAATTAGGAGGCCGGACTCGAGGGCGAAGGCATCGGCTGGGGAACTCAGGGGGCCGGGCTCGAGGGCGAAGGCCGCGGCACTCAGGGGGCCGGACTCGAGGGCGAAGGCCGCGGCTGGGGAACTCAGGGGGCCGGGCTCGAGGGCGAAGGCCGCGGCACTCAGGGGGCCGGGCTCGAGGGCGAAGGCCACGGCTGGGGAACTCAGGGGGCCGGGCTCGAGGGTGAAGGCCGTAGCTGGGGAACTCGGGGGACCGGGCACAAGGACGGGCAAGAAGGCGGTGCCGGGACAGCTCCGGAGGACGGGCAGGGAGATGGCGTAGGCCGCGATGGGGCCCCTCCGGGGTCAGCTGGATCGCTGGAGCAGGAGCACAGGGATCGGGAGCACTGGGAGCTGGAGATGGCGGAACCCCCGATGGTACAGGAACCGGTGGCGTCCGGACAGGAAACGGAGCCGTCGGGACAGGTGCAGACGGGACCCTGGACAGAACATGGGCTGGTGTCAGTGGGACCCCGGACGGGGCAAGGGCTGGTGTCGACTGGACCCCAGACGGAACAAGGGCTGGTGTCGACGGGACCGCCGTCGGAACAGGACAAGGTGTAGGCGGAAGAGACGTCAGCAGGACCCCCAACAGAACTGGACATGGTGTAGGCAGGATCCCCGGCGGGTTAGGATCTGGTGGCAGCGGGACCTCTGAATGAACAGGATTCGGAGCTGGCTGGACCTCCGACGGAACAGGTGTTGGTGGGACCCCCGGCGGGACAGGTGTCGGCGGGACCCCCAACAGGTCAGGGCACAGAGTTGACAGGACTCCCAGCGGAACCCCCAACGACTGTGTGTCACACAGAAACAAGCTTCCTGAGACTCTGTCGCTGACGAAGAGAAGCCAACGCTCAGGGCCACTACTGAGCGCCGGCTCCTCCGTTTCCCGGAGGTTTGTAACTGCAGGGAGCGACACACTTCTTCGCCCTGGCCCCGAACCGCGCGTGGTAAAGACACTCTCCTGTGTCCCCACGCCGGCTTGGTACCGTCGCGTCCAGCCTCCCCCAAGCCTTATTAACTGTTGAGGGGGCGCTGAGCGTCACAGCTAGCGCCTCTGCACCGGACTGCTGGGTAGCCAGGAAAAAAAGGTCGGCCTCTTCAGCCAAGGCATGGGGCTCCGTAATGGACGCGTTTTACTAGCGCCGTCTGAACCCGTGAAGGCAAGTGGCGCAGGAACGTCTCCATGAACAAAATGCGGGGGTCTTCCCCCCCCTAGCAGATTTAGCATTTTCTCCATTAGCTGAGATGGCTTGCTGTCTCCTAGGCCTTGAATGTCAAGGATCTGGCGGGCCCTCTCCTTAGTAGATAAGCTAAATGTCTTAAAGAGCAACTTGCAGGTTAGAGACACCAGTGAATAAATGTGTAGGAAAATGATGAATACACTAGATTTTCAAAATAATATACAGATATATACACTACAGTGACATCTGGCGTCGTTTTAGTAAGACATTTTCACTTCAGCATAAAAAAGCCTCCACACGTGACCTCCCGCGTGTGACGTAACATGGGGGAGAGCGGCTGGTCTAACGTATGAATAAACATGGATCACAATGCTAGTTTTGACACAGAAGAGGTTGAAAATATATATTCGAATGCATATGATTATAATTATGAGCCTGCTAGGCGTCCAAGACCAGGAGCAGCCAAGGATTAGAAAAAATGACGGCCATCGGAGAGAAATGGAGCTGTGGTGTGTGGAGAACCAGTGGAGAACAGAGCAGCTGTCTTGGTGAGTGACCGGCGTTAGCTACAGTTAATGTTAGCTAATGTCAGTCACATCACAACATTGTAAAGTTAGCAATCATATATCAGGCTATAACTAAAGTAGTATTGATCATATAGTAACGTTACTGGCAGGACTGTTGATACTGATCCATAACAGAAACTAATGCTAATGGTATCTCGCGTTACCTAATGCAACTCCACACTACGGTGCTGTGCTGTGCTGTGTACCGGAGGGGAGACGCGA